CCCCCAGCCTCCTCAGGGACACCCGCAGCTCCCCCAGGGGAGGCACTCGCCGCCGCCGTGGCCGCAGCCGTGGGTCCTCACACACACACAACCTGGTGGCCACCCCAGTCAGACCTGGGCAGGCAAGCCCCACTCCACCCCGTCCCCTCGTGGCCCAGCCTCAAGCCTCACCGCAGGGTCCTGCAACCGGCATCCTGGTGGGTGAAGCCGTGGTAAGTGAGCGTCTCTTCCCAGACAGGCCCCCTTGTGCCCCGAACGGTGCGTGTCCTCAGCTGGCTGGCCTGAGGGCCAGGCAGGGGGGTCAGGGCCTCCTCAGCCCTAGGGCCCCACCCTGGCCACCTCCCCAGTAGCGCCCCCAGTTGTGCAGCCTGCAATGGGAGCTCCAGGCCGGATGCCCAGGCCTCGTGGGGAGGATCCGGCTAGGACAGGTGGGTGTGTGGCTGAGGGGCAGCAGCAGGGCTTGGGTCTTGCCCTCACCTTGCTGGCCCCTGGCAGCAGATTGGCTTTGACATAGGTGTCCAGGGAGCCTGAGGCTGGTGGCTTGAGGCCCTGGGAAGAAACAACAGATATGGGGCAGGCCTGTGGCCAGGTCAGTTCCTTTGGCACCCTGCCACCGTGGCACCATGCCTCCTGCCCTGCCCCTCACAGGTCAGTTGCCCGGGATGCCTGAGACCCCATCCTGGCTGGGCTGGGCCCAGGGTGTCCTCATCCCCTGCCCCCACTCACCGCTGTCGTCTGAGTCTCCCTCTGGCTCTGGGTCTGGCTGCGGCTGGGGTGCAGAGCTGGCGGGAGACACTGCAGGGTGTGGGTCTGGGGCACCCCGGGCAGGCTCAGCAAAGGGGTAGAAATGCGGGAAGTAGTCAGAAATGAGGGGGATGGGCTGGATGGGTCCCGGGTTCACATCGATGGCCATGTGCTCCTGCATGCTCACCCGCTGTGGCCGCCGCCAGCCTGCTGCTGCCGTGCCCGCCATGGGGGCTCAGGCCAGGGGAGGGGACTCAGACAAGCCCCCTTGGACGGGGTATGAGGGGGCCACACAGGGCCGAGACATGGTGAAGAAGCATCGCTGAGGGTGCTGAGAAGGGTCCTGGGTGGCAGCCGGGGACCTGAGGACAGAGGGCAGGGTTGGGTGGGTGGGGAAGAAGTGGGGGGCTTCAGCCTGGAGGGGGACACCATGTGCTAGCAGCGCCTGCTGGGCTCCTTACCTCTCTGAGAGCTCTGCCACCTGGCTCTGTTAGCTGCTGGCGCTGGGTATGCCTGATGGGGGTGACTCATCTGTGTGACCCAGGGCCTCCTGGTACCCACGAGGGAGGAGGGGGCGGAGCTCAGAGCCCATCTCCAGGGCTCCGGAGAGGGCACTTCCCTGCCCTCAACTCCAGGGGTCCCTTACTTAGCATCAGCCTCCCTCCGCCCTTGTCAGCCCCTCCCCCTGTTCACATGCCCTCAGTTATTTTTACCACCATCATGGGACCTGCTCCAGGGTGAGGAGGCCGGATGCCCAGGGTGTGAGAGGCAACGGGAGGGGGGTGTGGGGATGAAGAGGTAGGTGAGAGGCAAGGGGTGCAGGAGGAGGGAGCATGTGGAGGTGTGTGGGAAGGGGCGGGGTGTGGGGGCACTTTGGAAGGTATGGAGGGGTGCAAGGGGTGGTGAGATGGAGGGTTCCTGTGGAATGGGAGAGGTGCCCGGGAAGGAGGGGGGCACTTGGGGAAGAGGGCATCTGCAGTCTGGTCCCCTTGCAGCTCCAAGCTTTTTGAAACATGGATGGAATCACATCAATGCCTCTCTCTCCTTTTGTGAGCTTGGAATAAAAGCCTAACCCATCACTGAGGCACACCCTTAGGCACCCCCTCATCTCCACATTACTCTTCATGGTTTCCGTGAACACCCCAAACTTTGTGCATGTGCAGCTGCTGCCCTAGCTGTCCTACTCCGCCCTTTGACCTGGCTCACTCCTGCCTTTGGTTTCAAGGTCACTCTCTGAAGTGGAACTTGGCTGGCTTTTACCTGCTCAGCATTCCTGTTTCCCAGTTAGTGGTCCTTTGGAGGCCACGCCCTTCCCTATTCCCAGCCTAGGGGGTTCATCCTCCTCCCCAGGGTGGTGCCCCAGACCCTGCCAATCAATGAATTCCAAATCCAGCAGGACACGCGACAGGCTCAGGGAAGGCCTGCTGGGTCACAGGCCAGTGCCGTGCAATTCTGGGTCGCACTGGCCAAGCAACTCTCTTTTCTGCGATGGAACACTGGTGCCCCCCTAGAGCTGTTGCCCTCTCCTCGTCTCTCTCTATGGAGTAGAGACTGCTCCTGGGAATGAGACCAACACAGCGGAAAGCACAGCCAGAGAGAGAACCCCTGGATGCAGCCGTGCCTGAAGCCACTTTAACCCTGGAGTTCATAATCACCATTCCCCTTGTGGGAACGTCAGCTAGTGGGTGGAGCTTTCTATCACTTATCCTGGCTAAACCTGCCCAGTCCACAGGCCAAAGTCCAACTGTCCCCGCCCCCCCGCAACTCTTACACAGAATCCTGTATAATTCCACTATTATTTATATGTGATTGTTTAATGTGCAACCACATGATTATCTGGTCTAAGGTCTCCCCTAGTCTGAGCCCCACCCCCCCTGCTCCCCCAGAGGCCAGTACAACATCTGGCTGGGCCGCAGACGCGGCCCCAGCACAGCAGCTGGTGCCTGGTGGGTGCTCATTAGTCACGTGCAGGGTTTCTCTCCAGATTCCTGCGGCCCAGCACGTGGTCAGCCAGGCACGGAGGAAGGAACCTACAGTGGCTAAGGGTCTGGGGTCTAGTCAGAGAGGGCCCGGTTCAAATCCCAGCTTGGTCAAGCTGTCTGTCCTCTCTGAGCCCAGCTCACCAGCCAGGGACAGTGCTGGCCTCACTCATAGGGCTGAGGTGAGGGTGGAATGATGCCGAGTACCTGGTGCAGGGTAAGTGCCCACTGCTGTGGGTGACAGAGTGCTTGGACAGGGGTGCCCCAGCCAGGAGACCGGCTGTCCCATGGCGTCTGCTCGAGGTCAGGGCCCTAGCGCAGAAGAGGCAGTGGCCCAAGAGTTGGTAAAGGCTCTTTATTCAGTCCTGAGGTGGCGCTGGCCTGGCAGGGTGAGGGCAGGGGCTGCCAGGGACCAGTCTTCAGCCCTGGAACCTCCACACCCCAGGGAAATCCAGGCGGGGCTGGTAGGCGCCAGGTACCAAGACCTGCAGGGTGAACTCGGTGATGATAGCGGTGAGCCCCCAGACGCGGTGTGGCCCATGCAGGAAGACAGGCATTGTGTAGCGGAAGTGGCCACCCTTGCAGAAGTGGGTGTAGCCTTGGTTCTGCACCTGCAGCAGGTGGGCCAGGGGCAGTGCAAACACTTCCTCCACCTATGACAGGAGGCAGCGAGAGGGTGGACAGAGGACTGAGCATGGCAGCTTCCCCGCATTGGGACAACCCAGTCCCCCGGCATCCTTGCCCCTACTCACCTCCTCGGGGTTGGGCTGGAGGCTCTGGGGATCCAGCGGGCCCACCCCAGCGAGCACTGGCACCACGGTGTTCTTTGCCTGGGCCAGGGAGGAAGCCGTCAAGGGAGCCATGGCCTTGGCAGGCATTTGGGGCTGGAGAAGGGAGGCTGAGAGGGAGACCCCGCCCTTGCCATCCAGAGGCCGTTAGCAGTCAAGGCCAGGTCCATCTGACCCCTGTCCTGCGTGGGGCTCACTCCAGCCAGGCTGACCGACTCAGTTTCCCCATTCAGGCCTCTGGGCCTTCGCAGATGTTCCCTCCACTTAGAACAACCTTCTCTTACTTTTACTACCTTGAAACCTGCCGCTTGTCATTCAATCCCTTCCTCCCTAGGGTCCTTCCCCAACCCTCATCCACCAAGCTGAGCAGAGCTGGCTCACCCCAGAGCCACTTCCGCCGGAACCTGAGCCTCAGTATCCCTGTGAGAAGAGGATAAAAACACCCCTGGGCCCCCCCAGATGGGTGGTGGGAGATGGGAGAGGAGGGACAGGCAGGTGCCTGGTGCTCATGGCATTCTGCACCTGCTGGAGTCCATGACCAGCTCCTTGTCCCTGGGGCCCCGGTGCCTACCCGAGGGCAGGAGAGCGGGTGAATGGGGTGAAGGGTGGCTGTGGCCTCAGAGCCTGGTGGGCTCACCTGGTCATAGACGGGCTGCAGGACACCCCACACATGGTCCTCGGGCACAGCCAGGCCCAGCTCCTCCCGGGTCTCCCTCAGGGCCGTGTGCACCACATCCTGGTCAGCCGGGTCACACTTGCCACCTGGGAAACTAAACAGGCACAGGAGCCTGGTCCCTGGACTGCGGGGCGGCAGAGGGCCAGTGACCCCTAAGCGCCTGCCCCGCGTTTAGCGAGGCCTCCGGACCTGCCCCGGCTCTTTACCTCCTTGAGCAGTGGAGGTGCGGGAGAGGGCCTGGGCCTCAGGCATGCAAATTCTGTCTGTGGCAGCCCCCAGGCGCCCACAGGGACCCTAGGGTGTCCCCAATTTCCGCCGAGGGCGGGGCCAGGGCGGGAAGCCGGAAAGCCCCGCCCCACGGCTTTCAAGACTCGGGGACCAAGTCTTCCTACCGCGGCCAGGAGAGGTGCTGCCCCTCTAGGGAGGGGGTCCCAGCTCAGAGAGGGGGGTCCCAGCTCAGAGGGAGGTGTCGCGGGCACCAGGCGACGCGGGCGCGTTT